TGTTGTAAAGATGGACCTTTTTTTGAATCCATTGATGTTCCAGTGCAGGGAAATGCCTGAGAAGATTTAAATTCTTCATTATCATTATCATCATTAAACTTATCGGTATTGTCTGATCTAGAATCCTCCTCTTCTCTCTCACACTTTCTCTTCAAAAATCGCCACAATGGACCCTCAGATATGACTGAATAAACGTGTATGAAATTTATTTAAAAGAATGGGATAAATACAGGAAAACTGCAGGGAAAAGATGTGTGTGTGGGGGGGGGGGGGGGGGAAAATGACATCAGAGACTGAGTTGGATGAATCCATTAATTTCTTGAAAAATGCACTTCTCCCTCCCCTTCCTTCAATATATTCCTCCTTTCCTGCAATATAGTGTTCACCTGTAATCAATGGTCTCCCCTATCTTGTGCAAAAATTAAGAATGGATTCAAAGAAATAAACACATTCCTACAGTGCACTACCAGAGAACTCAGAAAGAGTTGTAACTAGATTTTTGTTCAGTCTCTGCTCATCACTGTGAGAGCACATTGCCCGAAATAATTTTTTAAATAAAACATGATCTCCCAGGGAACTCCTAGTGACCTCTTGCAGAACCTTAGGGTTCCACGGAACCCTAGTTGAGAAATCCTGCTTTAGAGAGATGTTTTGCAAACACTAAGATAATCTTTGCCTACCCTGCATGGACCATTGATGTTCAATATAGCTGCCAGGCACTATGTTGTGGAAGGCTGTACTAGCTCATTAGCTATGTTTTATTATTAAAAGTTCATTCATTGGTACAGCATATTAACCACATTTACTATACTAAATTTGTTTGCCAATCCATTTAGCAGAAAATGGTAAGCTTTTTACAAATTTCTCAACTTCTCACCTGCATTTTATATGTATAATTGTTAAAAATATGATACTTCTAGATTTGTGAAAACATAATTCCCTAACTGGAAATAAATCAACAGGACAAGAAATCAATTTATAAATTTGGAAATTAAGGTGGAACTCATATACAGTTTTAAACCAGTGCTGTTACAATTAGTGAATGGATATCTGGGTTCTAATTATAAAGTATTACATTCTTTATACTGTACATCCTTCAATGCATTACATTCTCTGAAGATTTTAATATATCATGCTAACATATAAACCATAGTTTACCAACCATAATGGCTATGGTCACACATTGGGTTCAGTCAAAAGCAAATGAGCCATGGCATGAGTCTTACCCATTGGTAAGACATCTTCGTGTAAGGAGAAAATTATACTGGTATGAAATTTGTTCTCCTCTTGCTATACTGCCTCTCTTGACTCTGTTTCCACTTACTGCTAACTTCTCTCCAAGGTAATTTGTGACAACACCTGACAGATTTTATATACCTTGAGGCTGTCCTTAGATTGTGTTTAAATAAAGGGGGAAATACTACTTTAAGAGTGGTAGAGCTAAGGATGACTAGAACCTGTCTTATTCATGGACTGAGGAAAATGAAGACAATGTCATTGAGAATCAGCATAAAAAGATGTGGCCAGTGCATTTGTGCAATGGTCAGGTGCAAGCACGAAAGGAACTATGCACAATGTGTGAACCCATCTCCTGGTTGATTGTGGGCTACTTTGTCTTTGCTTAACTCTTTGCCAGGATCATTGGGAGAATAAAACTGGGACAAGACTATGTTAGATGACTTCCTGACTTAGATGGCTGGTGGGTTAAAAAGATTTTCAAAGGATTGCAAATGAGGCCAACAAACACAACAACTAAACTACAATACTAAGATTCCTTGTACCATATTTTGTGGGATTATAAACCTGCCATAAGATCATCATATTGAACTGATTTCATATACAGTATGTTAAGGGAAGAGATAGATGAAAACAGTATTTTTCTGCTTGTACCTGCTATGTTATCAAGGCCTTTTTTCTTCTTTTGTACCAGGAGGAGTCCTAATGCTGAACAACATCTCTGCAGACACCACTGGATACTTTATCTGCCTTTCCAAAAACACTGTTGGGGAGGATAAATGCAACATCACGGTTGCTGTTCGTCCTCGTAAGCGTTTGGGAATGCTTGGATGGGATAGAATTAAGTAGAAAACAATACCACATTGATAGAATAAGCCCATCATTTTTTAGAACAGGCAGAGTAGCTCATAATAAGAAATATATGTTTTACTGGCAAATGCCTTCTAGAGTGCTTTCCTATAGTTAAGCATTCATTATAGGACCATCAGCCTTGCTTGTTCATTTTTACAGGGTTCCTATATGACATTATCATATCATCCTCCTCTTGTGTTTTGTCCACACCAGAGCTCCTTTTCTGCCCCTAGGAGGTATATTCGCAGTATGTCTAGTGATCTGTTATGTAGGTGAGCCAATTACACACCTCTGTGCCACAATAGAGCTTCCCTATTAACTTTGGTTAGTGTCATTTGAATCGAGTATTTTTAATTGACTTTTTTTTTGTTTCGGCCTATACATAGTCTGAAGTAGTAATATATAGTGCTGAAACACAGCATTTACAAAAGATTTTAACCCAAAACATTTTTAAAGTTTTTTTTTTCATTAGTGGTGTTTTATCATCATGGGGGAAGTGAGGGAGCTATTTTATTGTTTGCTTCTAGTTTTTCACGTTAACTAAATAATTATGCAGTAGCTCCACAATTAAGGAAATGTGTCAGCACATCTAATACCTGTCTGAAGAAGGTATTGTCAGATGAATGGTCTGAGATGCATTTCGTTTGCGCATCCTATTATGTTCCATCTACCCGAATGCCAATTTTGGTGGATGGAACAAAACAGAATGTACAAACAAAAAGCTCTAGATTCTGTTCAAGTAATTTGTTCATCAAGAACTGTTTGTAGCAGCTCTAAGCCTCCACTGTAAATAGTGACAGCAATTTCTGGCCACTTTGATACTGGAAGTAGACTGAAAACAATCATATTTTTAAAGGTGAAAAAAATGGAAGATTCCAACCCTGCCCACATGTCTAATGGGGTCCTACACAGTACAGCCCTCAACTTCACTTCATCCATTTTAAATGTTTGTCACCTAGTCTGTTACTAGTTAAATGAGTCTTTGTGTTTAAAAATAAAAAAGGAAACCTCTCTCTCTCTCTCTCTTGTATTTTCTCTCTTCAAGATGGTGTTTAGGTAGAAGTCAGGCGTTTCCATCTTCATTATTTCTTAATAAATTATTTATTTCAATAATATTAGTATTTCTTAATAATATTTTTTACTTCAAGTATAATAAATGCCGGCTAGCAGTAACTGATAGCTAGGCTTTTATATGCACAGAAGTGGAAAGATAAGACATTACCTACAGTGGAGGAGTGGATGGTGAAGCTGATGGAGTTGGCTGAGATGGAGAAATTGACTGCTTTGATTCGAGATAAGACATTGTGTGATTTTAATGCTAACTGGAAACCTTTTTTAGACTTTTTGTGGGAAAAAGAAAAAAAATGATATTATGTTGTATGGATTTAATGATTAGAAATAATATGGGTTAATAGAAATAATGGAAGTTATGTTTTAAATTTAGAGTAAGAGTTTGATGTACAGTATATTGTTATACAATCTGTTGCAAGTAGGATTGGAAGTCAATTCTTTTTTTCCGTTGTTTCTTTCTTTTTCTTTTCTTTTCTACACTTTTGATCTTTACTATTTTCTCTTTTTTTCGATTTTCTTTTCTTTCTTCTTATTCTTTCTCTTAATATTAGTTTTTGTTAGTTTTTATTGTTCTTTTAATTTTTTTTAAAATAAAGTTGTTATAAAAAATGTTAGCTAGGCTAAAGCAATTCTCTGCACCCAAAAGAACCATATCCTGAACATTTTATTCTTTTTATGGGATGTTCTGCCACTTAATTACTCAATACTCTTCAGCACTCTGCTGATGTTCAGGAGTACATCCTTAAACATGGATTCCTGCTCAGTTCAAATCTCTAACAAATGTCTTTCCCAAAAGACAACAAATTGGTTTATCAGTTCTGTGATAACTAACAGCTAGTCTTTTCCCTCTACAGCATCCATGAACTTTGCTCTTTATGCTGGAATCATTGGTGGGGTCCTTGCTGCTATCATTATCATAAGTGTCTTGATTTATTGTTGCTGCTGCAGGGAATCAAAGAATAAGGACTATGAGGCAACGTGAGTGTATTTTGGTAAAAAATGTGGGGGTGAGGCGGGATGGGAAGAGAGAGACTGTCTATTTTAGAGGTAGGGTATGAATTTCACACATAGTTTTTTTTCCCCTTAAGATTATTTGCAGTACTGTTCACAGTCAGGCTAAATAAATCTTAGTAACGTCAGTATGGTTCGTACAAATGGAAAATTTTCATATTGTGAATTAGAATGTAGTCAGTATTTTCCTGACTCTACCACTGTTATCCTACACCTCCAGATTTGTTCATGCCTGATGTAGCAAAACCAAGCACAATCTTTCAGCACTCTCATAGGTGTATTGTTAAATCTACCTATGCACTTTATCCTTTACAACTGATTTGTGCATTTTAATTCCTGTTCATTAATAGCAATTTCCAACTTTAAAGCATTTTCTTTAAAATTATACTATTTAGATGTAGCAAACTAATGCTTTTTGGGGGGCGGAGGGGTATGATAAACCTATTGTGTGCGATAAACCTATTATGTCAGGAAAAAAAGTGGTGACATCTCAAAGGGGAGTAAATGAAATAAAAATAGTAATCCAGAAATTACATTACAATACTTTGAAGTCAACATCATTCTTGAAGTTAGAAATAGATTTTGAAAAGCACTCTTTATGTAGCTCTTAAAGGCACCCCTTTCTCTCACCTTCCAGGATAGATTTAAGCAATTAAAGTAGTACCTTAGATCTTGCAAATGCATTCTGTGTCTTAAACACTCCCCTCACACATCAGGCCCAGGGTCAATTCACTTTTGGAGTACGTCCTTCAATGTGCTTCGGAAAGCCAGGTCTGACTGATAAATTTCCATACTTCGTTCTAAAGTAATTATAAAGCTCCAGGTTTTCTTGTAGCTTATTCCAGCTAATATAAAGTAATAACTGCTGGAAGGCAATATACAATAGTATAGGAAAATCTCTTTCTCATTCTGTCACACTGAAATATATCAAATAAGAACCAATTTAGACATTGTTTGTAATAGGAATTACTCGCTGTTCCCTACTTTTTAGGGTTGGTAAGCCACTTGGTAAAATGTACATCTTATTGAGTAGTCTCAAGAAAGCCAGAAGCCACTTTGGAGGTTTCAGACTTTAACAATGACATAATGTGGGGTATATGTTTTTACCATTTCTATACTGTATTTTCTCCTCACCTGCATATGTGTGAGTAGCATAAATGAATTTATTAAACATCTTTAGTTACTTTTTGCACATGAGTAGGCCAACAGAAATTTAACTACTTCTCCCCAGCCCCACCTGCCATGTGCATTTTCTTGGCATATTTCTAAATAATCTGATTTAATTTATACTAAAGTCACACTGGTTAAATAAACAACAGAGAAAGACAGAAGGGCACAAAGGATCAAGAAACACTTTGCAGATAAACAGTACAAAGCAAAAAAAAAAAAAAAAAACCTCAAGGAAAAATTATTTATACAGCAGATTTGGTTGAACTAAGGAAACTTAAATAATTAATATTTTCTTAATAGTGGTATATCTAGTTTTTAATACTTGTCCAGGAAAGAACCCTAGCAGCCAACTTGACTAGAGAGATCTACATAAGAAATATTGGCCTTGGAAATACAAATGTAATTGTAGCTTTCTTCTTACTGAGTCCCTCTGAATGCAAAATTTAGTTTAGAGATGATTAAAACACTGATTTGACAATTCCAGTTCTGCAATAATCAGAAAGAGTCTAGTAGCATCTTTTCAGACTAACACATTTTATTTTAAGGTATAAGTTTTGTGAGCTGTAGCTCACTTCATCAAATGCATGGAGTGGCTTAACTGATGTAGGATTAAAATACAGTGGGATGAAGTAGGGTTGGGGCAGAATACTGTATCAGCTGATGTATGTAAACTCCACTGTCTCCCATTCAGTTGTGCTGGCAAAGTTTCTTTGTTCTAAAACTGCTACTTTGAGATTTGTAATGAAATGTTCCAGGAGGTTAAAAAGCTTTGCTATTACTTTGTCCTTGTTTTGAGTCCTAATATCAAATTTGTGTCCATAAATTATTTTGTGCAAAATTGTTGGGGCCTGCAATGGTGCTACTTCATTAGTGTGGAGCAGTGTTCCTTTGAATTTTGGGGGTTAAAGTCCAAACATCTTAAAATTGCCAAGATTGAGAAACAATGGCATAGGGACAGAGACCAAAGCTTGTTGCAGGCCCCCAAAACTTCACACCCAAAGTTAAAGGCATCTTTACATGTTCTTCCTCTAATGTGAAACGTGCCATCAACTGTCAGCAATGCCCCTCTGGATTTTATGTAAGGCAAACAGGCCAGATTGAGTTTACATACTTCCACAGGTTTTAGGCTACCTCAGAAGGTCTGAATACTCACAATGGTTTTTTAACATATTACAACTGTTATTCAATAATATAGTTGTCATCTGTCTCCCATGGAACCTTTATCTTCACACTTCCCCTGTCTCCCTTCTACCCCCACTTCATCCCAGTGTATTTTAATCCTATATCAGTAAAAGCACTCCATGCATCTGATGAAGTGAGCTGCAGCTCACAAGAACTTATACCTTAAAATAAAATGTGTTAGAATCAAAGAATCATAGAGTTGGAAGGGACCTTGGAGATCTTCTAGTGCAACCCCTGCTCAGTGCAGGAATCCTCATACCATTCTGGACAAGCTGCTGTCCAATCTTTTCTTGAAGAGCTCCAGGGATGGAGCAATCCCAAGTTCAGGAGGCAGGCTGCTTCATTGCTTAAGAAATTCCTTCTTGGTTATCTCACTGTAAAGCTTCTACCCATTGGTTCTTGACTTACCTTCAGGTGCCAGGGAGAATAAGTCTACTCCCTCTTCTCTGTGAGATCCCTTCATGTATTGGAAGACTGCTATCATGTCACCTCTTAGCCTTCTTTCATTAAGTTAAAGATACTAAGTTCTCTTAACTGCTCTTTGGGAGATTTAGCTCCAAACTCCTTACCATCTTTGTTATTCTTCTCTGCACGATTTCCAGTTCCTCAGCATCCTTTTTGTATTGTGGTGACCAAAACTGGACACAGTATTCTAGATGTGGTCTGACCAGTGCAGCATAGAGTGGTACTATCACTTCCTATGATCTTGACACTATACCTCTAATGATACAGCCCAAAACTGCATTGGCTTTTTTGGCAACTGTAGCACATTGCTGGCTCATCCTTAATCTGTAGTATACCAAGTTTCCCCAGATCTTTCTCACAAGTATTACTGCTAAGCCAGGTACCACCTATCTTATACCTGTGCATCTGGGTTTTCCTGCCTAAGTGCAGAACATTATGTTTCTCAAAACTGAACAACACTGTGTTGAATAGGGCCCAATGTTCAAGTTTATCAAGATCCTTTTGAATCTTTAGCCTGTCTTCAGGGGTACTAGTAGTACCCCCAGCTTTGTGTTATCTGCAAACTTTAGGAGCATCCTTCTATTCCCTCATCTAAGTCATTTATGAAGATGTTGTACAGTACTGGGCCCAAGACAGATCCCTGAGGTACCCCACTGCATGCCTCCTCCATGTGGACAAAGACCCATTAAGGATCACACATTGGCTATGGTTGTTCAACCAACTGTGAATCCATTTGGAAGTGGGACCATCCAGCTCACATTTCATGTATCCAGTTTATTGAGATGGATACAATGCTCTACTGTATCAAATGCCTTACTGAAGTCAAAGCAAACCACATCTACAACATTCCCTTGGTCAACTAATCTAGTCATCTCATCAAAGAAAGCAATAAGATTTGTCTGGCATGACCTATTTTTAACAGATCCATACTACTTCTCCTATTTGTTTCTAAGTGCCTGCAAACCCAATGCTTAATTGTCTTGTCTAGGATTTTCCCAGGTATTACTGTCAAGCTAATTGGTCTATAGTTTCCTGGAACCACTTTTTTTTCCCTTTCTTAAATATTAGAACCACATTGGCTCTTCTCCAGTCTTTTAGCACTTCTCCAGGATTTCTCAAATACTTCAGCCAATGGCTCTGGAATGACATTTACCAGTTTCTTTAACACCCTGGGATCCATCTGGCCCAGGAGACTTGAATTCATTCAAAGCTACAAGGTATTCTCTCACCAATTCCTTACCTATTTTGATCTGCATTTCTTGTCTGTTCCCTGCAGTGCCACTTCTGACAATTTGGCTGCTATTTCCTTTTGGGAAAAAAAACAGATACAAAGTAGGAATTAAGCAGGTCTGCCTTCTCCCTGTTGTCTGTCATCAGCTCCTCATCTTCTCCAACCAGTGGGCCAGATGTTTCCTTGACATTCCTCTTCTTCTGGACATACCCAAAGGACCCTATTTTGTGTGATTTTTGGCATTGGTAGCAAGCCTTACTTCATGCTGAGCCTTGCATATTCTATTTCCTCATATTCTGCTTTTCTTATGTGACCCTCTTTCCATCTGTCACACCTGTTCTTTTTGTTCATCAGTTTATCAGAGAGGTCTTTGTTCAGCCACGCTGGTCTCACCAGGTATCTCCCCCCCCCCCCCCCCCCCCTCCTGGTATTGATTGTGTTTGGGCCTCAATTATCTCATTTTTTCAGAATTTCCCAACTCTCTTGAACTGTTAGTCTGAAAAGATGCTAGTAGACTCTTTCTGATTTTTGGCTTTGTTGTTTAGTCGTTAAGTCGTGTCCGACTCTTCCTGACCCCATGAACCATATTGCGCCA